CGGCTATTGTTCGGAGTCCGGTTGGCCATTGCTACTCTAAAGGACCAATGGACGACTCCCATCCCACAGCCGGTTTCGGGATCCACCAGGTACGCACAAGACATCGCGTGCCTGAATTTAGGTAAAACCAGATGCGGAAGTGTGTGTTAGTCTTAAACAAGAGACTCAATCGCATTCGAGAAACATCACAGAATTTCAAGATTTCATCGCTGAATCTGTCGATCGCATTCCTGCCGAATTGGGAAGTGATAGTCAATATGAGCTAGCAACTTCACTAACGCAATGCACGTTGATGCACAATTATTAGACCGTATGAGAGGCTCGATAGTAATAAAAACGAGGGGTAGTGTCTAATTAATTCGAGACTTGCGTCTTAGCTCTAGGTAGGTAGGTTACATTCAACTCAACGCGCCCAGAAATTAGACTCGTCGTCCCGGGTCATACAGACACAGTTACTGGCCGCACGCGACGGTCATGTCTCGGGTGCGCCTGGGTAGTTATGTTCACTCATCTTTGATCCTATCGGGTCCTCCGAATCCACAATCCATCTAGCGCTCTAGATGGCTGTTGGCTTAGGAAACGCAACCATATTGTTCTTATCGTATTGTTCTCGGGGTGATATCCTAATGTACCCTCATCTGCGTTATCATTTCCTTAACGGTAACCCATCTCCGTAGTGCATATATATATTCGGCGACGGACCCAGCAGTGGAGACCATCGAAAGCTGCTCTGCATCTGTGTATCCTTGACTGGGTTTTTGAGAGACTCCTAAGCCACTGTCAATATGCATCTTTCTACTGCCATCCTGGCTGCGCTGTCTGGCACAGCTGCAGGAATTTTAACATCGCCATTTAAGCGCGATCTGAGGCTTTCCGCTGAGCTGGGCATTCACCCGGACATTCTGCTCAATCAAAAGACTTCGGTGCATGCAATTGCCAGTGCCCAGCGTGCCCAGCTTGATAAGACCATCGAGGCAGATTATGTTTTGGTATGTGTCTGGATTTTGTTAACTAGCTTGAGGACGGAGATAAATGCTGACAATTCATAGCTCCCGATTGATCACGGCGACTCTTCGGTTGGTACTTACAAGAACCGCTATTGGGTATCCGAACAGCATTACAAGGAGGGAGGGCCGGTCTTTGTGTATGATGGTGGCGAGGCAGAGGCCGAATCTGGAGTTCAATTTTCTCTGGGTAATTCGAGTTCGTTCTTTTATCAGCTGGTCGAGGAGTTCGGTGGAATCGGTATCGTTTGGGAGCACCGGTTTGTGTCCTGTCCCTAGTGAAATTTCGGACTCAATTAACGTCAACTAGATACTATGGGGAGTCCCTTCCCTTCAACGTCAGCCTAGACACAGAGCCTGAGCATTTCCAGTACCTCAACAACAAGCAGGCTTTGGCAGACCTACCAGCCTTTGCAGACAAGTTCACTCGTGCAAATTACAGAGAGGTGGACCTGACCCCAGCTGGAACTCCATGGGTCATGGTCGGAGGCTCGTACGCTGGCATGCGATCTGCGTTCACTCGTCATTTGTATCCCGATACTATTTACGCTGCCTTCGCCTCCTCCGCCCCCGTGGAAGCACGGCTCGACATGAGCGTCTATTTCGACCAGGTGTATGATGGCATGGTGGCAAATGGACACTTGAACTGCACTAAGGACATCAAGGCTGCACTGGAGTACATCGACTGGCAACTCTCGAGGAGCAAAGCGTCCGCGGCGGCCATCAAGCGGAAATTCTTCGGCGAAGGTGCCGAGAAAAACAGCAACGAAGATTTCTCTTCCGCGCTCGTGACAATTTACTGGCTTTTCCAAGCCTATGGCCTGGGCGGTGGCACAGGCAGTCTGGACTCCTTCTGCAAGCACATGGAGACCGATCCGCAAACTAGCGCCCCGGCGCCCCCACAAGGATTCGCCCACACCCGGGGTAATAAGTATGCCGCAGACCGATATGCATCATGGCCTGTTTTCACGCAGTTGACCAACAGCAATTTCAACACCAACTGCAGGAAGCTTGAAGCCAGCGAGCCGCTCGTGTGCGATCTGTCGGCGCCATCCACCGAGCCGGATACCATCAGCTGGACATGGCAGTACTGCACTGAATGGGGATTCTACCAGACCAACAACTTTGGACCTCACTCGCTGCTGTCAAAATTCCAGAACCTTGATTATGCGCAGGAGTACTGCAACCGATACTTCCCCAAGGCTATCGAGAAGGGTCTGTTCCCCAAACACCCGCAGGTTGCAGCGATCAATGCGGAGACCGGCGGATGGACTATTCGTCCGTCCAACGTTTACTGGAGCGGCGGCCAGTTTGATCCTTGGCGTACTTTGTCTCCCCTTGCCGCTGGTACGAGGTTAGCCCCACAAGGAGTGACTCTCACGACGGAGATCCCCAAGTGTAATGTGGAGACGGATGAGAGCACGGTCTTTGGCTACATCATGCAGAATGCGGAGCACTGCTTTGATTTCCGTACGACGTTTGCACCTGGTGCGATTTCCCGGAAATACTTTACCACTGCTTTGACAGAGTGGCTCAAATGTTTCGAAGCCAAGTAGAGATCGACGTGGTCTGATCTCATTTGGATTTCCCCATAGTTTAGCACTATTCCCCTTTTGTATCAGCTTGCGATCCCACTTTTTCTCACGTGGAGCTTTACCGAGGTTCTGAATATATATCATTTTTGGCTAAGATTCAAATTTCACATATTTAATTGCTTGTTTTTCCAATCTATGGATATTAAAACAAAATGACAGTCAGCCCTATAGTTGCCTTGGTTGCGCTGTCCGCGGCCTTATTGGTCGTGCGCTACTTCGCACAGCTCCACCACCACCGTAAACAATCCCAAGCTCTACACTGCAAACCTCCCCGTTTGGGCTCCTCGACTTTCTTCGGTATTCCAGGTTTCATTCGGTTGACCAAAGCTGTTCGCGAAAAGCGCTGGATCGATCATCTCTACAACGAATATGCTGTCTATGGAAATACCTACCAACAGAGATTCCTCTCGCAAAATATAATGACCACGATCGAGCCCGAAAATATCAAGGCACTTCTTGCTACTCAATTCAAAGATTTCTCTCTTGGAACAAGACATCAACAATTCTACCCACTCCTGGGCGATGGCATCTTCACCCTTGATGGTGCTGGGTGGTCACATGCGCGGGGATTATTGCGCCCGCAGTTTACCAGGGACCAGGTATATTATATCGGAGGATTTCCAAGGTTTATGCACGTGTGATTGACAAAGGGTACAGGTTGCCGATCTTACCATGCTGGATGATCACATCTCCAACCTGACCGACCTAATCCCCAAGGACAGGAGCAGTTTCGACATCCAGCGTTTGTTTTTCCTGCTGACCCTGGACTCGGCAACACACTTTCTATTCGGGGAATCCGTCGGCTGCATGCTCCCACCTTCTGGAAAGACCGGGGTGCTGGAAAAATGTGCTGTAGGTAGCGCCCAGGGCTTTGCGAATGCCTTCGGAATCTCCCAGGATTATCTCGCTGCACGGAGTCGCGCCCAGGGTTTGTATTGGGTTGTCAACCCCAAGGAATTCCGCGAGGCGAACCGACAGGTGCATGAAGTCGTCGATCATTATGTCAATCTCGCTCTCGAGTCGAAACGTAACCCCGAAAAGAAGGACGCCGACGGTCGTTATATCTTCCTCGAAGCCCTGGCGGCCGACACCGATGACCCCAAGATTCTACGCGATAACATGCTTAACATTCTTTTGGCTGGCCGTGATACAACGGCTAGTCTGCTGAGCTCGGCGTTCTTCTACCTTTCCCGTTACCCCAATGTGTGGAACCGCCTGCGTCGTGAGATTGTGGATATTTTCGGAGATGCGAAGAATCCGCGGTCAGGAATGACACAGACCAAGCTGAAGGATATTCCATATCTGAGATATGTGTTGAATGAAGGTGAGTCGATATTGCAGTGGATACTGTATGCTCTCCTAATGAATATCGACTAACTCCAACCCAGTCCTTCGTCTCCAGCCTCCTGTGCCTGTCAACTTCCGCGTTGCGACCAAAGACACATCCCTACCCCTCGGCGGTGGCGCGGACGGTCAATCCCCAGTCTATATCCCTCGGGGCACCATGGTTGCCTACAATGTCTTCGCTATGCACCGCCGGACGGACTTATGGGGTAAGGACGCGACTTCTTTCCGGCCCGAGCGCTGGGAGGAAAATGCTAAGCATGGTTGGGAATACCTGCCTTTCAATGGTGGGCCACGTATCTGCCTTGGTCGTAAGTTGTTCATACTCTTGTCTTTCTCCGGAGAAACAAAATTGAAAATTATTTGGGATGACTCGCTGACAATTAATTCATTAGAACAATACGCTCTCACTGAAGCCAGCTATACTCTCGTTCGTCTGATGCAGCACTTTGATACACTCGAAAACGCGGACCCCCATCCTCGACAGGAGCCTGTCAAACTATCTACCATTACGATGTCGCATGATCTTGGCGTGCCTGTTCGTCTGTACTCTTCGGATAGGATTTAGGTTTCTTTGTGTCTCTTATGATTGAATGTGTAAATGGATATTCGAAGGGAAGGATACCGGTTTTTGATGGTTTAGGGTTATGTGAGAATATTTTGGTAATCATCTTGTACATGTATAGCTTTATGTACCAGATTTTAGGCCGCGGATGCGAATTTCTCGATCGGGGTGTCGCTGCTTTATTTCAGGGCCCTGCTCACTGAGTAGCTAGCTTTTCATAGGGTAAAAGAGACTATATTACTATAACATAGCTCGCATCGCCACACTTGGACAGGTAACCCAGCAGGTATTGACCGTATATAATGTAACGTGAATGTGATCTTCCTGTTTGTATGATAGATACGACATCGCGATTTAGAATTCTTTTACTTTTATCGGTACCTCGGAACTGCAAGTAAATCGAATTGTTGTTTTTCGTTTTTCTTTTTTTTTTTCAAATGATATGATTTTCTAAGTAAATACAAAGTGGCGATTGTGTGATGTTCTATACGATTATGCGACAGCTTGCAGCATCTGCTCAAACAGCTGATCCGAATCAGGTCCAACTGGGTTAGCCAGTTCAAGCGCCTCTTTGGCCTCGATCGGTGGATAGATCAGCTTCTGATTGATATAGCACTTAATCTTCTTCGCCAAATCCCCAGTAATTTTGACCTCTAGATTCCAACCCTGGGAAATCACAGTACCCCAAGCCCCGAGATCCAGACAGCAGTTGTATGTCGCCTGCACGTACTCAGTCATCGGCTCACCGAGAAGATCGGCGGCAGCGTTGTGGCCAGACACACGGCCAAGTGAGAGTGCATGCTGGCAGGACATCAAGGCGTAGTGACCCTCTTCATCGGCGAGAGCACAGGCAGCGTCGCCTGTGGCATAAACATGCCTAACCGATGGAACGCGGAGATACTTGTCGACACGAAGACGGGACAGGCCATCTTTGTCGCCGGGGATTTGTTGTGTTAGGGGTGTAGCCTGCACACCAGCGGTCCATATGCAGGTATTTGTTTCGATGTGCTCGCCAGATGCAAGCGTTACTCCATCCGCATCGATTGATGTGACTGCAGAACCGAGTTTAAGTTCAATCCCGAGGTCTTTCAAAGCTTGCATGATAACGGGACGAGGGCCCGGTCCCAGCGCAGGACCAACCTGGTCTGCATTCCCAACTAGAATAATCTGATGATTTGCGACATGTCCCAGGCGCTTGGGTAGTTCGGTTGCGAGTTCGATTCCCGTAAACCCAGCACCGCACACCACGATGGTATCACGAGCAGGGCTTGCTGGAAGCGAAGACAGGTTCTCGAGATGGATCTCGAGCTTGGTAGCAGAGGCTAGAGAATCAATATCAAAAGCATGTTGCTTGATCCCTTTGATTCCATCGGGTTGTACCAAACGACTCCCAGCTGCCAAAATGAGACGGTCGTAGTTGATGGTTGATTCCATGCCATCAGCAGATTGGACTTTGATGGTGTGCTTCTCAGTATGAATGATATCTGCGCATCCCCGGAGGTACTTTATTCCTGCCGCTTGGAAAAGAGCACCAACAGCATGGGTCATGCTGGACGCTTTGGCCTCATAGAGTCGTGGGCGAATAACCAAGGATGGTTCCGGGGCGATGACCAAGACCTCAACAGTGTTCTCATTCTTTGTGAGGTTTGCTAGTCGTTTAGCGGAGAGTGCACTCCAGACGCCGGCAAACCCAGCGCCAATGATGACGATTTTTTTGGGCATGATTTCGGTTGTTGGAAGTACACGTGATTGGCAGTGAAGTATATTGTTAAGTGATGCAGGAAATCTGTGTCTAAACCCCTAGCTGTTGATCGGAGTTTTCGGCGGTTTTATATGTTCTTGTATATCCGGAGCACGATCCGGGATTTCAACGGTTCCCGAAATACCCGGGAACATAGATAGCCTAAGAACAACATCAATAGCCTAAGAATATAAATAGCCTAGGAACTGTAAAAAGGTGCAGGCGGGTGTCGGTATAATCGATTCATACTGTAAGGGCACTGCACAGGGGTCGTGTTAGGTCGTGTGCCAAATCCTGTACAGACTAGCAAATAATAATGATCGGCCCAATAGATGATATATTCACACCTCCGCCAAGCCGGGAGAATTGCCTATTCAGGGAGTGTGAATAGCCTCGATCTCAGGTTTACAACTTTTTCCTTTCTATATTATTAGTTATTCCGTGCCGAAAGCGGTACAATAGACTATATCCTAGAATCTAAAAGCGGTTAGGATCAAGGCAAACTAACATCAGGTCAAATTAAGGCCAAACTAAGGCATTAAGGCACCATTGTATGCATTAACTAACTAACTAACTAGTTAACTAACTAGTTAAATCCGAAAGTAACCCTAGCCACTATGCCCCTGCGTAGCTATAGAGGTGCATCTTATTGGGGTGAGCTGCTAGCTTAGCTGCTCTCCGACTTTCATCAGGTGACGCTCAGTGAGCACCTGGGCACCTGAAGTTCTTGAGCTTATGTAACAATTTCAGCGAGCGAAGAATATGCCATGCGCTGCTAGCAATGCGCTAGCGGCTAGTCCCAAATCCTAAACCGAGGGCCATGCTATGATCAGCCATCAGCCCACTAAGTTCTTCTTAACTTTTACAGATATTTACAAGTGGACAAAGTATTATGTCCTCAAATTCCGAAGAAGACGATCTGTCCTCTTCGCTAGATTACGGAAATGATACCATTCTGGTTGGCCTAGAGGATGTTCGTGACTTTAATGTGGACAACGTCCTCCCTCTCCCTGTCGGCGACATTCTTAAGATCACGAAATGGCTGAAGCCAACTGAATATGACCTGGAGCGAAGTGAATACTCCAGACATCACCTCTCACATCTCGCGGGGACAGGAAAATGGTTCACATCCACAACAATCTACCAACAGTGGCACCAAGGCGACGAAAATGGACTCTTGTGGATCAAGGGTATTCCAGGCTCCGGAAAATCTGTATTGGCTGCGTCGATTATCAATCATCTACGAAAGAATGACATTCCAGTGATCTTCTTCTTTTTCCGACAGATCATCGACGCCAACCATCAGCCCCTGGCTGCATTGCGGGATTGGCTATGTCAAGTCCTAGATTACAGCCCTCCCCTACAGGTCAAGCTGAAAGAATACATTGATCATCGGCGTAATTTGGACAGCTTGTCTCCAAGCGATCTCTGGAACGATCTTAAGCTGGCACTGGCCACATTCCCCAAGATCTACTGTGTCACCGACGCCTTGGATGAGATGGACCAGGGGAATGATGAGTTCCTCCACACTTTAGTGGAGTTGGGCCAGTGGCGCCCGTCGAATGTCAAAGTTTTGATCACTTCACGTCCAGTATCAACGGTAGAGGATTCGTTGAGATCATTCTCCATTCCTCAAATTCGATTGGAAGAGACACTCGTTGATCTCGACATCGCGGCCTACGTACAATACAAACTTCGTCACTCATCGGTCGCCCCTGAATCATGGAGTGTCATAGAGGAGGCAATCCCTGGTCGGGCCAATGGGCTCTTCTTATATGCTAAGCTTTCAATGGATGCATTTCTTGAGCCAGGCGCGGACGCAAATGAGGTGCTCAAGAGGTTACCGGCTGACCTGAACGTTATGTACAATGATCTGCTGCATGAACATGCAAGACGAGCGGCCGTCCCAGAGGATTTGCAGCTACTTGTCCTGCAGTTTGTGACCCATGCCACACGCCCACTCCGAATCCTCGAGATTGCTGAAATGGCGAAAAACGTTCAAGCTTCTACAGACCGCACTCTGAAAGAGACGAAAGACTTGGTCCGGGCCGCTTGCGGCCCTCTCCTCGAGATCCTTCCTGATGAAACTGTATCGGTCGTTCACCACTCATTCACCGAGTTCTTGAAAGGGTTCACTCGCCTCAGTGAGTCGGATGATAAGACATATCCGATCCTTCAGCCGGGCTCAACAAACAAATGTCTGGCCATTGCGTGCTTAGACTATCTTCGGTCCGGGTGCCTGATCCATCGAGAAATGAAGGAAGCATGCAACACAAATAGATATAAATATCGACGCCCGAAAGCTGAAGAGCACTTAGAGCTAAAACTCCGGTTTCCGTTCTTAGTTTATGCAGCTGATAATTGGTACATCCACGTTCATCGTGCATTCCTCGCGGGTGAAGATATGTCACTTGTCTACACGATGCTTGATACTTTCTTTGCGGACAAGCAGATGTTCACCGCCTGGCGAGTTGTGGCCTGGCCAACACATGAAACCCGGGGTATCACCGCGCTTCATGTCGCTGCTTGGGCTGGTTTATCCGAATACATCTCACACTTGCTTGAGAGGGGGGTAGCATAGAAGTGCGAGATGCTTGCCAAAATACACCTTTGTACTGGGCTGCCACTTCCGGTCACCATAGCGTGGTACAGGTGTTGCTTGCCAATGGAGCTGATCCGAACGCAGAACAAAATGAGGGATACAGATCACTACATCTGGCAGCTCAAAAGAATCATGCTGAAGTGGCCAAACTTTTGCTCGCTGCAGGCGTCGACCCACTCACTCCGAAGACGCAAGACTCACCTTACAGGATGTGTGGGAATCAGCCCACATCATTTGGACATACGCCTCTGATGTATGCATGTCATAACGGCCACGTCGGGACGGTGGCCGAGTTTCTACCCTTTTTGAGAAACAGTCAAGGTTATCACCAAGCCCTTCACTGGGCGGCGTATCGGAGGCAGTGTGCAGTGGTCGAGTTGATCATTCAATATCCAGGTGTGGATCTAAACGCGAGATACCGAGGAGACACTGCCCTTTTTACGGCCTGCTTGAAGGGAGATGAAAAAACCATTGGTGTCTTGTTGCGAGCGGGAGCTGATCCAAACATATTTTGTGAACACGCAGGAGGCGAGTTTGATGGTGAAATGCGGTCCATACGCGTGTCCAGCAATCATATGGATGAAGATCCTAAAAGGGGGCAGACCGCTTTACATGTCCTTTGCAAAACTGACAGAGGCATGCGCTCTCCAGCACTCTCATCAGCGTCCGTAAATTCTCTGCTTCAGGCAGGGGCTGATATTCATGCACGAGGTCCTAAGGGCCAGACGGCCCTGCACTATGCCTGCAAATACCAAAAGGCAGATGTGGTCAAGAAATTACTCGAAGCTGGTGCAGATCCTACGGCAGAAACCGATTCTGGGGCCACACCATTGCACACAGAAGGGCAGAGAGATAAAGAGCTGCTTCCTTTGCTTTTGGGCGCAGGGGCGGTCGATATCAACAAGGTCATTGGAAAGACCGGGAAAACTCCTTTACTATGTCGGCTTCAAAAATATCATATAGAAGGAGCACTTGCTTTCTTGGAGTACATGCCTGACGTGAATATTTCTGACATCAGGGGTAATGGTCCGTTACACTATGTTTTCGCGGCGTCTCACAACGTCCACGATAAGATCTATCCTCGTGTTATCGACACCTTGATATCTCTGGGCGCCAACCCAAATGCAATGAACAATGAAGGCAATACACCGTTGCATGCCATGAACGACAATAATACCCCGTTCATTTCCAAGCTCTTAAATGCTGGGGCAGAACTTGAAGCTCGAAATCACGATGGCCAAACAGCTCTTTTCAAACATGTGATTAGAGATAAAGAACCCGTCGAGACACTGATTGCTCTAGGCGCTTGCCTAGATACGCGGGATTCTAATGGCCGAACTCTCTTGCATCGGTGTTGCAATGATCCCACTCGCTTGGACTATCTGATAAGTCTCGGCCTTGATCCCTTGGCCACAGATCATCAAGGCAACTCTCTTTTGATGGAGGTTGCTATCAGCAACGACGATAACCAGCCTGCTACCATGGATCATCTTATAGGCCTGGGCTTGGACATAGATCTACCAAACCATCGCGGCAGGACCACTCTGCACGTGCTGTGTGCTAGGGCGCAACCTGCCAGGAACTCACCCCCATCGACAGATGAACACAACCTAGATTACGTCCTTGGAGTCTGCAAGAACCCGAATCCCAGTGACTGCGACGGCGTTCAGCCTTTACACCTGGCTAGTACAATATCCGAGTCCTACGTTATCAAACTTCTCAATGCCGGTGCAGACATGTTCAAATTAACACATGAAAGGATGTCAGTGCTGCATATCGCAGCCCGGGCCCGCCAGCCCAATATTGTGGCTCTTTTCTGCTCTATGTTATCAGAACTCGGAGTGCAAGACCGGACTGTATTTTTGAACCAAAAAAACAAGGAAGGAAAAACAGCCCTTCACTATGCTTGCCGTTCGGGTCGCCCTGAGACCGTTCACGCATTGCTTGAAGCCGGCGCAGATCCCAACATATTGGACAGTGGAGACCGATCGCCTTTCAGGACATGTGCCGAATTTGAGACAGAAGAACAACTATGGAGCGGTTATAAGAGGATAGCGCAGATGGATCTCCTCCATGCAGCCGGCGTTCTAGTCGACGATCACGAAAGGCCGTTTTTTGACCCTCCTCATAGCGATGGGCATTACCGCCAGCAACATACGGAGAATGATACAGTTCGTCTGGATGAGATTCTGGATTTACTTGTTTGCCATGGAGCCCTCTCATCCGGTAAGGACTGCCTTCAAAATGCGTTGAACGATGCCATTTCGAATCGGGACGAATACACAGTGGATTGTCTCTCGCGACTACAATGTCGTATTCCCGACTTGACCCCATGTCGCCCTGGCGGTCTCGACTATCTCATCTGCAAAGGCCGCCTAGATGCGACAAAAGAGGCATTGAGAAAATATGACGGATTTGGCGATGATAGCTCTAAGGCTTCTGGACTTGATTACACCTACATGACAGACTTGATGTTCACCAGGCAGTACGACTTATTTGAAGAGGGAGTAAAGAGGTTTGACGTATCAAAGCTGAACTACCCTGCGACCTCATTGTTGCATTTTCTCGCGGAATGGGGTTACAGCGAAGTGCTGAATCGTGTTTGCAATAAGGATGCTGCACTGAGGTTTGATGACCTCCACTGGCGTCGAGAAGCAGAAATAAAACTAAAAGAACGTCATATAAAGACCCTACTAGTTACTGCGTGTGATCGCGCTTTGCCTAACATGGGTGTGGTGGAATTACTTGTTGAGAAGGTCGGTGTCAGCCTCAACGCACAATGCATTGAAAGCCCCTCACGTGGAGATTCCAAAGTGGCCGGAGGGGCCCTACATAAGCTTGCGCTTGGGCGCAGCTGGTGGCATGTCTACAAAGCATTGCCGTATTTGATCAAAAAGGGCGCGAACCTTGAGCTGCGTGGTGAAGATGGAGTGACCCCGTTACACGCAGCCTTGCATACTCACCAAGCACGCGGTCCCTTCCACCTAAATGCCGCAAGGATTCTCATCGAGAGCGGGGCAGATGTCAATGCCATGGACGCCAACGGAGAGACATGTTTGTCAAAAGCTGGCAATGACCTAGAGATGACGAGACTGCTCATGGCGCATGGCGCCCAGATTACCGCAGCCACTATATTCTCTGCAATTGAATATGGTGAATGTGAGATACTGGAAGCATTGCTGTCACAGGGGGATTACGCGAATCTCAGGCGATCTGAACTAGTCAATCATCGACAAAAAGGCAACACTCGCACCAATATTCTTGATTCTGAGGTCCCACCTCTTCTCTTTGCTAGTGTCCCTGCACTGCAATCCACTCAGTTTGACTATACCAAGTTAACCGCCCATCCAAACGCTTTGAACGACAATGAACTCGACAGCCGTATGATGACAATACTGCTCAATCATGGCGCAGACCCGTTTGCTACATATGTCGGGGATCTCTCATCTAGACACAGCATACAGGAATCCGATTCAGAGCCGGACGAGCCTGATGTTTCACATCCGCAAATCGATCTCCAAAGAAAAACTGTCATCCATGAAATTTTGAAATCTGGGCACTTATTCCTGCCATTCTTTCAACTGCCATCCTTGCAGCTTGAACAACGTGATTCAAGCGGTTGCACATTGCTTCTTGCGGCTTCCCAGAGCCAAAAGATAATGAAACCCAAGAAACCCAAGATGGATATTGAAGCTGGGACAACCATTGCGAAAACGGCTTTCCAAGAGCTCATAGACCGCGGTGCTGATGTCATGGCACAGGACAACGATGGCAATACTATGCTGCACCATCTTTCTCCTCCGAGAGGTTTCTTCTATATTACTCCTTTAGAAGTTGACTCAGAGCTGTTCACAACTCTGAAGGAAGTTATCATAAAGAATCCGGGACTCCTCCATCAGCGCGATCGGAAGGGCGATACATTCTTTCATCGCACCATGCAGCTAGAGAACTTTGATCTTATTGACGATCTTCTCAAAATGGGGGCTGATCCTCTCCAGCCAGACTCCAATGGAGACACAGCGCTTCATCATTTGGCCAAGTACCTCAAAGAGGGTAATTCACAAGCTCACTTCAAGCGATTCCTAGAGGCGGGCGTGGATATCAACGCTCGGAACCACCAGGGCGACACACCTCTCTTCAAATATATTCAGAACGGTGTGGTAGCTCCTAGCCCCAGCCGGACTGAACTTTTTGAGAAGGAGGATGACCTCACCGAGACCGTCTTCGACCTTCTCCAAGAGGCTGGTGCTGATTTTTTCACACAAAACAATGATGGCTCCTCATTGCTCCATTTATTGGCCTCGAAGAAGGAAGGTGCTGGGTATGGGAACGAATATCCGTACAATGTGGTCCGACGATTTAAAATTCTGATGGGTCGTGGACTTGATCCTATGATGGAGGATTCACGCCAGCGGACGAGTTTGGATGTTGCTGCTGTTTGTGGCAGTGAGCATATTATGAAATTGTTTGCCCGAAAGCCGATGGAGTAAAAATGGCGTAGGGGAGCAATATCAGGGACGTCGCATTATCCAGATTGAAATAATTAATTCACGCTACATCCTTGGTTATACATAAAAAGGTGTTCTGTACGGTTGGGGTGTAACAAAGTCACTGTCGTCGTCGAACTCGATGATGTCGTGGTAGGGGAGCTCCAGACCCAGTCGCTCATCTGGATGAAACAGCATCCATTGAGCGAGTTTGTTGCAATCCAAAATGTGGTCCACGTATTTTGCCACATCAGCTGGGTCATAAATCCCCTATGCCGGTCGGCCGAGTCCGGCTTGTCGTAGATGGTATGGCAGTCTCCGAACGCCAGTGCGCCATAACAGATTTTGAACTTATAGAGAGAATTGGTGTGACACTAGTGTATCCAAATGTAGAAAATACTCTTATTAACCATTATGCTACAGGCAAAATCTGTTATGGTGCACTGGCGGTTGGAGACTGCCGTAGTAGATGGTCTGTTTTGGTGCCATGTTAACTGATGACGGTTATCTGTGGGACGAAGCCTATAGCAGAGGTGACTGAGAATCACGGTCATGAAGGTCTTAAAGATAAGGCCGTGGAAGGAGCGACCGGACTAAATATATCAGACCTTAGAACCCTTTCTGTTCTCTCGTTCTCTCTTTCTTGGATAATCTCACTTCCCTCTCACTCCTATCTCACTTCAGTTATCAAAATTCACAATACTAGACCCCAATTACGACTACCCTCCTTGGCCAACACTATGACGGCTATCCTAATATTTTCAGTCACCTCCGCTAGCCTTCTCCTTATATCGCCTTCCTAATCTAGCTACGCAGTCGAATAGCCTTTTCGACCGCAAATAGCGAAGATTTGGAGTTATCATAAAATGGGTTACCTTAGGTTTGCATATCTTCCTTCGCTTTCTTAAGACTCTTTCTCAAGATCTTTTAAGCTAACTGCGCTTCTCAGCTTAGCAACCCTACATAAACACTCTGCACATAGGAACTGATGAGCGCCCTTGGCGACTTGGTCACGGAGACGCACGCCGTTCTCCTCGATAACTATGTCTTCTTGCGGTTCCTAGTTGGGGCCGAAAGGTTGCGCGAGCCTGTGGTTCGCACAACGATCGGCATCAACTCTGAGCTATGGAACGAGCGTATTAGAGGCATTTCTCATTTAGATATGTGTGTCTCTTCTCTGCCCGAGTGCACCCTGTATTTAATCACGATCCCATGGATACAGTTCTCAAACCGTGACTCGTATTTGGAGTTACTGCACCAACTGGCCCTCCGGGGGACCCCAGCGAGAGCCAGATGACATTTACCATGGTGTGCCATTTATCAAAGTCGCTGAAGGCTACATTGATAACTCCCTCGATATCTGTGACGATGATGATGCTAGATGGTTCCACTGTATGGACCTGTACGGGATCAGTAGCGAGTTGCAACAAGCGATCATGGATCCAAAATTTCGCCATATCCGCTTAACTAAATCTAGAAAGTTCTGGGCTCAGAATACTTCCAAGTTGCGATATAGGGGCCTTCAAGCAGTATAAGAAGCCTCTCGTGAACGTGATTAGGCTAGTTGACGTGAAGCTTCCCGTCCTGGACAGTCTAGTGGTTCCAGACAACGATCGATCTCGGATCCTTCAAGGAAGGTCCCTTGGTTGTCATGCGAAACTGCCTTATCGCAAGTTGCAACAAGTGCAGCTGCAAATGCCCCGGGCTACACGACTCTATATAAGGGAATCGACCAAGCTCGGGCCAATAGCCTCTTCGACGATAATGACAGGGTTCACTTTGGATGTCTTATGTCTACCCCACCGACTGATTTCTCGAGAAGACATGGAGATATCTACCTCGATGTTGATCGAGAGGTGGCTGAATATTATGCCTCCTATGCTAAACGACGTAGCACCTATAACGCGATTATTATCATCCATGTCACTATCCCAAAGTCTGTCATCGAGTCCCTTCCGCCAGCCGATATTCAGACTCTCTATTGACCGAGTGCAGAGTGGAAATCCCATATCTTTCATAGTAGACGGGGAATCAAGCTCCCATCTGAACTCTGTAAATATCAACTAGCTAAGCTTGGTATTGGCACTATCTGTGGTGAACCGAACTTGACTTTTGCTAATATGCAATCTCCGGATGAAGTCACGGAGCGAATGGTTCTCAAAACCCAAGATGGACGTAACACTGTCCAGTACATTTTCAAAGGCGATGATGGAGAAACCTTGTTGGAGTTTAGCAGCGTCGCGGTCTTCCCTTTGACGACAGTGGAGTTTGAGACTTGGCATCACACCGTCTAGTTGTTTGCGAAATCGGTCTTTATGTTAGTATTAATTATCAATGGAATTAATCGGACAAATTTGTCAGTTCACAAACCTCTTACTCCCGGGGAAATTGTCCGAAACTGTCAGCCGGAGTTTCCCCGTGGTTTTGCCGTTGGCTCATGGAAACTACCGAATGCGTCCAAAGAGGAAATGAACATCCCAATTGTCTCCAGATTGAAGAAAATGATATTTTTATTGGCTCCTGCTCTCAATTAATCTCGGCCAAACTTATTCTCGGCATATTAGACATATAAAAGTGTGTATATCCCGGGGAAATGACAAGGATTATCCAAGATCTACACTATGAAATTGTCAACTGCAATCACCGTGGTTTTAGCAAACCGGGCATTTGCTAGCTTCCACAAATCCAAAATTGACTATAACTCCGCTCCCCCGAACCTTTCTACTTTGGCAAATGCATCTCTTTTCGAAACATGGAGACCCAGAGCTCATCTGCTCCCTCCATCTGGGAAGATAGGTGACCCGTGCGGGCAATACACCGATCCCAAGACTGGTCTCTTCCATGTGGGCTGGCTTCACGATGGAATTGCAGGAGCTACAACTGATGATCTCGCTACCTATAAAGACCTCAATCCTAATGGAGCCCCATCGATTATCGCGGGGGGAAGAATGACCCCCTTGCTGTTTTCGACGGCTCGGTTATTCCAAGCGGTATCGACGGCATGCCAACTCTTCTATATACCTCTGTATCATATCTTCCAATCCACTGGTCTATCCCCTACACCCGGGGAAGCGAGACACAATCCCTGGCCGTCTCCTATGATGGTGGACGCAACTTCACCAAGCTCGACCAAGGCCCGATGATTCCCTCGCCTCCGTTTGCTGTCAATGTCACCGCTTTCCGTGACCCCTACGCTTTCCAGAGCCCAGCTCTAGACACAGCTGTCAACAGTACCCAAGGAACCTGGTATACCGCCATCTCTGGCGGTGTCCACGATGTCGGACCTTGCCAGTTTCTCTACCGTCAGCATGACGCGGATTTCCAATATTGGGAATATCTCGGGCAATGGTGGAATGAGCCTGTCAATACGACTTGGGGAAATGGTGACTGGGCAGGCGGATGGGGCTTCAACTTTGAGGTTGGCAATGTCTTCAGCCTGAATGCAGACGGGTACAGCGAGGACGGCGAAGTCTTCATGACTCTCGGTACAGAGAGTTCTGAACTCCCCATCGTTCCCAAAGTGTCTTCGATTCATGATATGCTGTGGGTAGCCGGAAATGTCACAAATGATGGCTCCGTCTCCTTCAACCCAACCATGGCGGGTGTGCTTGACTGGGGGTTGTCGGCGTATGCTGCTGCGGGCAAGATCTTGCCAGCGAGCTCTCAGGCAGCTATGAAGAGCGGTGCCCCCGATCGTTTTATCTCCTACATCTGGCTTACTGGAGATCTATATGAGTTGTCGAAAGAATTCCCTACCGCTCAACAGAACTGGACAGGCACTCTCCTGCTGCCGCGGGAGCTGAATGTTCGCACTATCCCCAACGCGGTGGATAACAAGCTTTCGCGTGAGTCCCTGGCATCGTGGCGTGTGGTCCGCGAGGGACATGGTCAAATTGACCTCGAAACAATGGGAATCTCAATTGCTAGGGAGACTTACAGCGCTCTCACATCCGGCTCATCTTCTGTAGAGTCTGGTCAAACGCTATCGAAGGCTGGCTCGGTGGCATTCAACACCTCACCCTCCACCAAGTTCTTCGTTCTGACAGCGAATATCTCTTTTCCGGCCTCTGCTCGCGACTCCGGTATTCAATCTGGCTTCCAGATATTGTCCTCCGGTCTTGAATCTACAGCTATCTATTACCAATTCTCTAACGAGTCCATCATTGTCGACCGCGGCCACACAAGTGCCGCGGCGAAAACGACTGATGGAATTAGCAGTGCCAACGAGGCGGGCCGTCTGCGGCTCTTTGACATCTTGCAAAATGGACAAGAACAGATTGAGACGTTGGAACTCACCGTCGTTGTGGATAATGGTGTTCTTGAAATATATGCCAATGGACGGTTTGCTCTAAGCACTTGGGCTCGGTACGTTTATCTTATTTTCAAAATATCGGACAATAACTAACCGCGTGAAGGTCTTGGTACGCCAACTCGACTGAAATCAACTTCTTCCATAACGGCGTAGGAGAAGTGACATTTGGAGATGTGACGGTATTTGAGGGACTGTATGACGCCTGGCCACACAGGAGGTGAACAGCCCCTTGATGCCATATGACGATGGTCTCGACATGCTCCTAGCTCTTCCAAGTGATACAGTTCAACCATTCAGGTTTAGAGGAAAGTCATTTTGGTTGATACCATTGTCACCAACGTCACATAGATAAGTTATATAGTCTATTTATTTGGCAAAGTGACATCAAAGAAAAGCATCTTTAAAGTGATGCTTGAAACGAAGCTGAGACTAAATTGCAACGAGATGAGCTTGTAACGTCATGACGCTCTTCATCTAAAACAACAAACAATGAGATTAAATTCGGCCCTGCCTTAGCGTTTATTAGTGCTGACATTATTTGGGGGCCAGAGAACCCTTGAAGAGCCCACGTCAAATCACTATGTAGATCCCATTGTTAGTTATCCACCTCAGCTCGACGATCTGAAGCCTACCCCCAAAGGTTGCGTCATCGACAGGCTTTAACACCAGATGTTCCATTGAAACTTCTTCTATTGGAATATGGACAGTGACTTTGAATAGTATAGATCATCTCGTGATGTCATCTGACTGCACATGAAAAGATCTTCCAGGAGTTTGAATGTCACTTGGAAGACCTTAGAGGACATATAAAAACCTCTGAATGGTACCGACACGAGAAGAGCATCAACAAAAACGAACACTCGTATACATTCAATCCTGAAATCTCAATTCTCAAAACACAATGCCTTCTCTTCGCGGCACTCTTCTTTGCCTGATGGCTACCTCTGCAACCGTTTACGCCGAGCGCTTGAGGGTCGTCTGGTCGACCGGTGACTTTTCAACGATCTCCGGTCCTGCCGGCGGCAATACATTTGGCCACTTCAATGGCTTTGCGATCCTAAATGAGGCCGGCGAGGCTATCTATGACCAGGCATATCCCGACGACCATTCCCCCTGTTACAACACCGGCGACGGCCGCGAGTTTACCATTGAGGGTGACTGCTGGGCAACCCCACGCAAGTTTAAGTGCAAGGGAAACTTTGGAGGCCACCCTGAAACCTGTGAGGTCAAGGACGGTGATGGCAATAGCCTCGGTACCGGCGAGGGACATACCAATACAAAATTCATTGGTATTTCTATTGGTCAGGATGCGAGCTGTGTCGTTGAATTCGACTCTGATAGCGACGGGTGCCCTGTTGATGACGGAAATGGCCCCCTTCATGTTACCTCAGGCTAAACAGCTTTTCAAAATCGCTTGAAAGATCAGGACCCCCTGCAGATATTGGAACCTGCTTTTGTTGTATTAAATTTGAAAAGAAAATGAATCTTTCTGATATACTGCAAGTCTAATCTAAATGAAAGATCTTCGAGCCACAGTCACCTCTGAGCAATATTGCCACCTCTCCCAAGGCCCAATACTGCTAACGGGCTAACCCCCTATTAATTCCGTCTGTGGGAGGATATGCTAGAGTGCCGATAAAGCAGTGGCCCGCCCTAATAGCCAAGCATTACACGATAGCTCGAAGCTGTCTGTTCTGCGCCAGACGTGCAGCAATCAAAAGAAAACCACCTAGTAGCAAGGATACCCCCGAGAATATTGACAGGGAAAGATACCCATATCTCTCAACTAGAGCACCACTAATGGGTATATTCGCCATACCACTGCAGTTTGTGTCAGCATCTCAAATCCTCATTGTCATTTCAAGAAATGGTGGTCATACGATAGAGCTGTGGAAGCTGACACAATCCCGATTGCCAAACCAAGAGTGGTAGAAGTAGCAACCTGGGCGGCACAAGCTTGCTGGAGAGATAAAATGCCCTGAATATATGGTCAGTATTGGAAGCTTCTTGCCATTCGAGAATAACTCACTCCAGACGCAAATCCGTATGCAGCGGACCAAATTACCAGACCAACCACAGATGTCACCTTGGTCCAGCACAATGCAATAACCCCTGCGGATATAGTGGCTATAATGCAGCAGTTGAATTTTCCGTACCTATCAGCAACGATGCCGGGAAGGATTCGACCAAAGAATGAAGCGCCGTTCACAATAGAAACAGTATAGAATGCCAGGGATGTCGAGAATCCTTTCTCAACCGCATAAGAAGTCGTATAGAAGAACGGTGAAAACATGCCAAAGTATGTGATGAACATGGCGAGGCACAGTAGCTGCAGCGATGGCTTTCGTAACAGGGCCAGGGCCTCTTCCTTGTGACCCTGCGGTTTGTCCTTTTCTTCGGTGGTATTTTTGTCGCTTTCCTCCTTTGAATCGAGACTCTCCACATTGGTTGTAGGTGTTATCGGAGGTTTGGCCACTGCGCAAGAGAAGATGAGGCAAGGAATCATGATAAAACCGACGATTCGCATCGTCCAAGGAAAGCCAATATTGGGAGCATTGATCAATTTGTCGATTGCAATGGGCCAGATAACTCCGCCGAGCGACGAGCCCGCAAGAACAATCCCCATCGCTGCAGCACGCTTCACTTTGATATGTTGTCCGACCAATGCGAGTATTGGCCATGTTACCAACCCCATTGAAATCCCAAGCACCACACCCTGAGCGAGTAGAAATTGATAGAATTCCTCGCATAATGAAGTCATCATAAGTGCAAAAACACACCCGAATGACCCAACATATACCATCAACTGTTGAAAGAGATCATTAGTTTCTTCCGCAATGATCGAGGAAGAGTAACCTTACCGTTGGTCCAAAAATATCAAGCATTGCTCCTGCACCGACAGATATAGCGAACAAGAAAAAGATTGCTATAGCCCCGAGCCAAGCGATAGTAGATGTGGAGCTTGAGGATAGCTGATTCTTTGTGTAGTACTCCTGAAAGATACCGAACGAGTTCATAAAGCCCACAGTGCAAAAGGCACACGTAAAGGCGCCGAATATGAGCAGCCATGCTCGGGTCCTTGAAGGGTCAGTGGTCAGTCATACCATAACTTGAAGCATATTTCACATACGTGTATTCAGTCGGCGGACTATCTTTTAGTCCCATTTTGTCGGCCAATGGAAATCTCAAAACTGGGGAAGTTACTTTGGCTTGAGCTAAATAGACTGCGGGATGCCATGTTCTTTTATAAGAAATCCGACTAATTACATCTACGAGGTAAATGATCGCGCTCGGAGTCTCCGAGCTACTGTTTAGATCCTCGGAGGCACAATCGCCGGATATGGTTTAGCGTCTCGGAGAATCCGCGGAATCTCCAGACAAACATCTACAAGCTCGCTCTCTCCTGCGCGGAAAAAAAAACAATGATCCCACAGTCTTTTTGCTTTCGCTGTTCCAATTACTGTTGAGATTTTTTCGACGAGATTCACAGCATGAAACGACGACTGGATTTGGGGGTCGCCACCCCAGGCTCGAAGAGAGCATCTCGACAAGACCCCGTTTCCTGCGAGTCCTGTCGAAAGAAAAAGCTGAAGTGCGACAGAGAGCTTCCATGCAGTAGTTGCACTGCACGAAAACTGGAGTGCAGTTATGGTGGCTACAGCTCGGGCACAAGCTCGGGCACAACACCTGTACGACCTATGTTAGACAGTCGCGTGCCTGAATCACCTCGGACCGTGCAGTGGACTCCACAACAGGACACGGACACACAAAACCGCAATAGAAATGAGCCCCTTTTGACGGCGGATTGGCTTGAGACTATTGTTATGGGACACCGCGTCCCGAGTACAGTCCCCGCCACGTTGAGGGCGGAGCTTTCCCAGCGCCGGGAGCCCGAGCGCTCGCCCACAGAGCAAAATACCACACCTGGCGATCGATTTCCTGCGATTTGTGAACGGCTCGCCTCTCGTGAGAATCCGGCGACTATCCATCTTCCGTCGTATTTGCCACCACTGGCAGAAGCCCTAAGTCTATTTCGGTATTATTGTAAATACCTTGACTTCCAATATCATGTCATCATACCCAGTCGTGTGGAGCAACAGATTGAGACAATTTACGACCGTGTTGCGCGAAATGAGGCTATCAATTTGGCCCATACTTCGCTGCTATTCGGTATCACTGCTGCGGCCTTGTATTACCAACTCTTGATAGAGTCACCCGAGCACGCGGAACCATTCAGTCAGGAATGCACATTTTTGGCAGGCGCCGCATTGATCCAGAGCAATTATATCCCTTATCCTAGTCTAGAAGGACTGCAAGCGACTATGATCATTGGTCATCATCTGTCCAATATGAACTTGCCCTCTTCCGTCAGCCCTTTATTTGTGCATAGGTCATTTGTGAGTCAAGCCACTAGTATGGGCCTTCATCTTGTGGACTCACCTCGGGTTGTGGCCGAGCGCTCAGCAAATGAATTTGACAAAACCAATGTTGAACTCAAACGACGGCTGTGGTGGGACTTGGCAACATATGACTGGTATGTTGATAGCAAGAGACCTTGCTGGTGCTGTGACTGATGATATCTGAAGGTTATTAGGCTTTTTGAGCGGACCCCAAGAGTGGACCTACTCAATCCAACCTCAGCATATGGTTGTACAAGAGCCTTTAAATGTTGAGGATGAAGAAATCGAGAGCAGCGAGAATGGTGTTCCTCTTTCTACCCCAACCGCAATGTCATTCAGTCTCTGTCGATTGAAGTTGGCTGTTGTGTGTCGCCAAATAGTGGACGAAACGTCACACTACCATCTCTATGGCCAAGAGGTACCTTATGAAAAGATACTCGAGCTCGATCAGAAGCTTCACAAGATATACACCGAGGTTCCCAGTTACTTTCGCTTTGACCAAGCCTCCCGGCGTGAAAACTCAGCGCTTTATCGTGAACGACCAACTCTCGCGTGGCAGCGAGCTCTAGTACAGCAGGGCTTCCATTCACGGCTATGTCGCTTGCATCGCCACTATCTCGTACGTGGAGCAAAAGATCCCAAATATTCCTATTCGCATGTCGTATCTCTTCAGTCTGCCCGCAAGGTGCTTGAAGTAAAACGCATTATGGATGAGGAAGACCCTGTCTTCACACCGCATAGCTCGGTCATATGGGCAGTCATGCACCACGTATTCGTGGCAGCTGCCATCCTTCTGATAGATGTGTGTTTCAACTGGGATGATATCTTGGCCGAGAAGCGAAAAGAGGAAGTACTGGACGCTTGTCGAATGCTCAGCCGGGCACAACAATCCTCGCCCACCGCACGTGAGGGAATCAATGCCATGATGGACATTTTGCGAAAGCATTGGAAACACGAAAAAAGACCAAGCTCCCGCAACTTGCAGGAACTTTCTGCCTCTTCGAATTTAAATGCCACAAGAGCCAATGTTCCACAGCCGGGTATCCCCACACCTGTTTCATTGTGTTCTAAGGGCCTCACGTTTCCTCCGGAAGTTTCCAATGGCCAATCGACGGTGTGCCCTTCAGCAGATGCATTGCTTAGTCCAATGCCACTAGAAGACATATGGGCGGAGATGCTAGAGAGCAGCGGTAATGTTGATCTGAATACACCAGATTGGACAGACTTGCTCACCGAGTTGACAAATGTTACTTTTCCAAGCGAGTGAGTAATGAAAGATGATTCTCGTCTGACTGGGTAGAAGATGAAAATATGACAAGTATCATTTGATCGATCATGAGGCTCTGCTAAGCAACCTAAGGCAGTAAGGCGCCAACAAAATTCCCTTTGTACGAGATGCACTGGCTAGACTGCCGTACCCCTCTGTTTTGATGATCCAAAATCAAAACAATCATTTACTTCCAACCACCACCCAGACCAAACAATACCCAAACTCGAAGACGTGTCCGACAAGACCTCGAACCATACAATAGCTAGTATGAAACCCGATATCCAATCAATTGTCGATCGCATCAAGACTGGAAATGCCACGCGGATTGTCGTCTTGACTGGCGCTGGAATCAGCACTGGCGCCGGGATCCCAGATTTCAGATCTCCAAACACAGGACTGTATGATAAGCTCGCTCCACTCCGACTCCCATACCCAGAGGCCATTTTTCACATCAATTATTTCTCCCACACGCCTGAGCCATTCTACGCAATTGCCCGGGCACGTCACCCAGGCAATCTCAAACCGACTGTCACCCATGCTTTCCTGGCACTGCTAGCGAAGAAGAATCTGCTCCATTTTCTTTTCACTCAAAATATTGATGGGCTTGAGCAAGATTCTGGGGTTCCCACTGAAAAGGTTCTCTGGGCTCATGGAAACTGGAAAAGTCAACATTGCTATAAATGCAAGTCGCCATATCCCGGTGATCTCATGAACAAAGCAATTCGAGCAGGCGAAGTGCCGTACTGTCTTGAGACCGGGTGCGGTGGTGCGGTGAAGCCAAATGTTGTATTCTTTGGGCAAGCTCTGCCGGCTGAATTTGATGAAAAAGAGAAAGTAGTCCTCGAGGCCGACTTGATGCTTGTTATGGGAACTAGTTTGAGGGTGGCACCTTGCTCTAGGCTGCCAGGTCTAGTAAAAGAGGGGATTCCTCGGGTTTTGATCAACAATGAAAAGGCAGGAGATCTGGGTAATCGAGATGAGGATGTGTGCATACTCGGAAGTTGTGACGATGGTGTTCGTCAATTAGCTGATGCACTTGGGTGGGGAGAGGACTTGACCGATCTCTGGAATGAAGCAGTCGCTGCTAAGAAAGACGATGAAACATTCGAGGGTGGCCCTAGCTTAGATGAGTGTATTGAGAAATTGGCTAATGGCATGAAGGACAAGATGAAGGTGTCGGATGGGCACAGACGCATGTTGGAGAACCATTTGAACAACAAACTTGAGCAGATGATAGCGAAAGGCCCTGCACATTCATAGAATATATACATACATTCTGTGGCGATTGACTTCCGCTCAACCTTGTAATCGAATTGTGCTTAATCCTACTTTGGGCATTACGTTGATCTAAGGAATGATGCCACCATGATGTGACAGCATTTCCTCATCTATTTGTAACTTCCCAACTCCAAATTCACAACTTTCGATACATCCCTGAATACCACTTCTCTCTTCAAATGCCATCCATATCAGCTTACTATGCCTTACCATAAGAATGACCTCCCCTATATCCGCCGCTACATCACCACCCACAATACCGAGGGCGAATCAGTATTTCTCTCCCATGCGCAAGTTCCCGACTACCTCCCGTCAACACCAAGCGGGGATGATGGCGAGATTGCCCTGTTATACGCTACGACGACTATGCCAGCCTCGGTTGATGCTGAGGCGGATGTCGCCATGTACGACGAGTTCCTGCATCAACCCCCTGGGATCACAGTCGATGGCGGAACCGTTTTCCGTCTGATTGATCTCCGTCCGGGAAGGGCGACTCCAATGCATCGGACTGTGAGCGTCGACTATGGGGTGATAATTGAGGGCGATGTTGATCTCCTACTGGACTCGGGTGCTAGTCGACGTATGCATCGTGGCGATGTGAGTGTGCAAAGGGGTACTGCACATTCGTTCCGGAATGTCAGTGACACAAAATGGTGTCGCATGCTGTTTGTGTATTTACCAATGGAAAAGGTGAATGTCCAGGGGAGGGATCTGGAAGCTGAGGTATATGATGAGGGATTTGACAAGCCAGACAACGAGGAAGGACCTGAAACCGGAGGTATGTGATGGGGGCTGGACAGACTCCCAGGAGGATTTGAATGAGGCTAGGTAAACAACAGCGAAACCCTTGTCTCCAAGTATCTACTCTTGATCAGAAGTAGGTCATCATTAGATTGACTATGTTCTGTCAGCAGTCAGAATCTGGAGTCCCTAAGCATTGTCCTTGCAGCCTTGTGGGGTTTCAGCCCCCGTCTTACCAATCTCATGATTATCAATCGGAACAGCAGGCCTAATCCGTGACGTGCTTGGTTATCTTCATTTCTGTATATAAAGAGAGCAAGCCCTCCAACCTACCATCTCTTCTTTGCTGTCATATTCTACTCCTCGCTTCGACCCTCTCTCAACTCCTCTTGTCCAATAGCCATTCCAGATACTTATTTTTATTTTTTTTACCATGGACACTCCAATCCGTCGTGTTATTACAGGCCACGATGCTCAGGGAAAGGCTTATTTCGCTTCCGACGAAATCTTGACACCATACGACCCCAACTCTGCTCCGGCATTCTCAGCCCCAGGACCTGACTCTGGATTCGGGGTTATCCAAATTCACCGGTCGCGCGGCTTTCCTGTGGACAATATGCGCCAGCTCTCCGATCCACACAAGACTCTCGTCCCACTGGTTGACACCAAGGGACCTTCCTGTCGCATCCTTGATCTACCCCCAGCAGATGCAGGATGGTTCCATCGGACGCTGAGCTTGGACTACGCTGTAGTTTTGTCTGGCACCGTCGGGTTCATCACCGATGGAGGCGATGAGAAGATCCTAAATCAGCACGATGTCATTGTCTGCCGCGGTGTAAACCACGAATGGGTGAATCGAGGCAAGGATATTGCTCGGGTCTTTGTAGTGGCTATCCCTAGTAAGGAGATTGTGACAGAGGATGGAAAGAGATTGGAGAAGACACCTGCGGGCGACATTTATGATCCCAAGGAAGAGGAAGATTGATCAAGGAGATGTAAACTTAGCCAGAGGAATGTTTCTGTTCTATACTTCTCGGAAAAGCGGAATATTCCGAGCTCTCGGAACACGGAACAGGGCTTCCGACGGAATTAATTCCAGTTCTCCCCGCGCCTTTTCTTCGACATTTCTGCTTTTCCCACATTTGCTTTAAAACATTCGCTGTGACCTTAATTTCACATATTCTACTTGTACTCTTATTCTACATCGTTTTTACTATATTTTATTGTACTGTGCCACCAATTGCCGCACTTACAGCTGCATAGAAAAATTACCCCACGTCGCAGATCTCTAGTTGACGTGCAGTATGGATCGCGACCAGTTCAAGACCGCGGCTCACTCTGCCATTGATGATAGTATGCGTCATCCTACCTCTGTGCAATTGTCAATCTCAGTGGTGTTCAATCTAACCAAGCTTTCGTGCAGTCGTCAAGTACTTCGACAGCGTGCCCGAGCGCCGAGTCCTCCCCGCCGTCGAGCCCGGATACCTTCGTCCTCTGATCCCAGATAACCCCCCTGATGAGCCAGAAGAGTGGGCGCAAATCCAGCAAGATATTGACACCAAGATCAAACCCGGCTTGACCCATTGGCAGTCTCCAAATTTCATGGCATACTTCCCCGCCTGCGTGACATACCCCAGCATTCTGGGTGAGATGTACTCTGCCACATTCACCGCCCCTGCTTTCAACTGGTTGTGCTCCCCAGCATGCACGGAGATGGAGACCATTGTTATGGACTGGGTCGCGAAAGCTCTGGCACTGCCAGAGTGTTTCCGCAGTACATCAGAGACCCACGGCGGCGGTGTCATCCAGAACAGTGCGAGTGATGCTATTGCAACTATTATTGTCGCTGCCCGGGAGAGGCGTGTGCGGGAGCTGCTACTTGCCGAAGGTCTGAAGGAGGGCACACCGGAGTATGAGGACCGCAAATTCGATGTCCAAGCCAAGCTGGTTGCTATTGCCAGTGATCAAACCCACAGCAGCGCTGCTAAGGGTGCTTTAATTGCGGGTACTCGCTTCCGCGGCGTGACCACGCGGCTGGAAGATAACATGGAAATGACTGGACCTCGTCTCCGTGAGGTTCTTGAGAAGTGCGATAAGGACGGACTTACCCCGTACCACCTCACTATGACCTTTGGTACCACAAATACTTGCAGCGTGGACCGCTTTGCAGAGCTGAAGGCAGTTCTGCAAGAAAAGCCGGCGTGGCAGCGTATCTGGGTGCATATTGATGCCGCCTATGCTGGTGCATCGCTTGTTGCGGATGAGTGGCAGTATATCGCGAAGGACTTTGCGGAGGGTGTTGACAGCTTCAACATGAACATGCACAAATGGCTGCTGGTCAACTTTGATGCTAGGTAAGCTTCTCATTCCAATTGTCTGTGGGCAAATCTGTACATTTGGTCTAACATTTTTCAGCGTCCTCTTTGTCCGGAATCGCTTTGATCTGACGAACGCACTGGATATCACACCAACATATCTGCGCAACCCATACTCAGATATGGGAACCGTAATTGACTACCGGAACTGGTCTATCTCTCTCGGCCGCAGATTCCGCGCACTAAAGATTTGGTTCGTGATCCGGAGCTATGGTCTCAATGGCATGAAAGCGCACATCCGCAAGACGATCGGGTTTGGTGATCTCTTTGCTGGCTTGGTGCGCGATCGGTCCGATCTATTTGAGATGGTCACAAAGCCAGGCTTTGGCTTAACCGTCTTCCGCGTTAAGAGCCCTCAGGCTTTATCTGACGGGGCGTCTGATCGCGTAGCCAAAGATGAAGTTGCTAACGATCTGACCAAGAAGATCTCTGAGTTAGTCAACGAGCGAGGCGAGATCTTTTTTACCTCTACAGTTGTTGACGGCGTCTGTGTTATGCGGGTGGTTAGTGCTAACCCTATGGCCGAAGAGAAGTATATCCGCAATGCCTTCGACGTTATCGTCCGTACAACGGAGGAGGTGTTGCAGGAGAAGAATTGAATTGGAAGTGATGTAGTATATATAGATACGTGGTGATATCCCCTATACATGCATATCTAGACGAAATAACCAATGAATTAGATCAATAAGATCCATAGATACTCTCTGCTCAACATATCTTTCCAGCCTTATCTTTTTCCCCCACACTAACAGCAATTGTGGATATCAATCTCGCGTCTCGCACCAACCCCGAGTCAGATTCCAGATTTTCCCCCACGCGGGGTGGGCACTACTATAAGAACTTCATTCCTGGAAAACACTCGTCATTCACTTTTACCCCTCCAATTAGACACCTATACCTAATAATAATGTCTTCTCAAAATCCCTCGTAAGTTGGTAAATTCCTAACTATGCGATCAGTACTGATCATCACAGGTATGTCCTCGTCACTGGCGCAACAGGATTCATCGGCGCCCATGTCGTTGACAACCTCCTGGCCCGCGGGTTCTCAGTCCGAGGCTCGACAAGATCAAAGCAGAAGGGAGAGCAGATGAAGGCTGCACGTCCGCAGTACGCCTCAAAGCTTGATTTTGTCGTTGTTGAAGACTTCACCCAGATTGGTGTTTTCGATTCTGTGATGGACGGCATTGACGCAGTCATCCATGTAGCGAGCGTAGGCAGCTCACAATTCTTTGTTTGTGAATGACTGAACGTGCTAACATCTCTCACAGCCATTTTTCTATGACACTACCAACAACGAGCAGGAATTGATCTTGCCCGCCATCAACGGAGTCAAGTCAATTCTTTCCGCCTCAGCCCAGTCAGGATCAAAAGTCCAGCGCCTTGTCATGACATCCTCCTTCGCCTCAGTGGTGAATCCTAGCAGCACTCCAGAACCAGGATTTACTTATACTGCCGCGAACTGGAACCCACTGACATACGAGGAGGCAATCGATCCGAAATCCGACTCTGTCACCGCGTACCGTGGCTCGAAGAAGTTCGCCGAAGTTGCAGCATGGGAGTTTGTCAAAGAGCATAAAACCAAATTCGACCTGGTGACTCTCTGTCCTCCTATGGTTTTCGGTCCAGTCGTGCACCCCGTACCAACGGTGCAGCAACTCAACGAGTCAAACATGGTCCTCTGGAGTGTGGCCTCGGGTGCGGATCCACTTCCTGTAACGCGGGTTCCCGGTTGGATTGATGCTCGCGACCTCGCCGAGGTGCATGTTCAGGCTTTGCTTACACCTGAAGCTGGTGGAAAGAGATTTGTGGCTGCTTCGCCGGAGCCATTCTCGTACGAATATGCAGCGGATATCATTCGCGATGA